TTTTTTTTGATATGTTCATCAATTAGTTTATATAGATCTTATTCTATTTTATTTTAGATATTCTCATTTAAATTTTCTCTGATTGATGTGTAAAATTCTTCTTCGCTCTAGAAATTCAAATGTTCAAGTATTACATGTTTTGCTGTTAATCTTGAATTATTATGAGATTTGCAGAATGTCCAAGCCAATTTATACACATATTAGAGATTTTTTGGAATTAGATATATTTTTCTTATATCTTATATATCTCTCTATAATTAATTGGTTTTTTCATATAAATGAATCAAAGTTTATTAGGATACATCTATCAACCTTTCTTACAGCTTCCTTATTGTTTTATTGATATTTGATGATTATTTAATATTATAGACACTTAAAATACTATCCATTAAGAAATTATTTGTATTTTATGGTAATCTTAATAAATTTTTAAAAGCTCTCTTCCTCAACATTAGAAATCGTTTTCTGATCGATTTGTTTTAAAACTATTCAATTATTTAACAGTAGTTGAAGTATGGTTGAATATAAATTAAAAATAAAAGAAGTCTTTAACGAAAATCCATCTTAAAAGAAACATATTTCAGTTTACTCATTTTAAATTGAACAATTTTTTCAATATCATCAATATGCTATTTTATTTAACCTTTATTGTCTATCTTTATTCCTAAGTACTTATAGTTATTGACAACCGGAAAATTATCATAGCTATCTTCTACCATTTTCCATTTTATAGGTAAGATTCCAGATTTCTTTTCATTCAAAATAAATGCCCATTCTTTTGCTTAAATTCTTAGTTAAAAAATGAATTATTATAATTTCGATTGTTTAACAATAAAGACTAAATCATCTGCATAACCAAGAAATTAGTAAGAAAATTTAATTGCAGATTTCAATTGTCTTAAAAAACCATCCATATAAATGTCAAAAAGTTACGGGGATATAGGAGAACCTTGAATAACTCCATTTTCATAATAATATTGTTCTTTTTTATTATATGGGTTAATGTATATTATTCTACTGTGTATTGCTTTCAGAAATTTCACTTCATTCTATTCCAATACATTATTATTTTCAAGTAGTTAATATAATTTTTCCCGATTAACAGTATTATATGCACTCGAGAAATCGATAAATAACATTATTAATTTTTGGGCTGCCTTAGTTTTTTTAAAAATATCACATATTGCTAATATATTAACTTAAGTCCCAAACCCTTTCACAAAACCTGTCTATTCTTTTAATATTTTTTCCTACAAATAATTCATTAGCTTATCATAAAACCTCATCTCGATAAATTTGTATAATGGGCTTAAAATAACAATAGGTCTAAATTGGGTTTTATTTGGGATATTTGGATAAACTTTATTAAGAGGTACAAGTCTAGCCCAACCCAATAATTTATTAATTAAAAATGTATCTTCTTTCCATAAATCTGAGAGAATTTTCCAGTTACAATTCTTTATAAATTAATGAGTTATGCAATCATAAGATATAGCTTTATCTGAAGCTAGCTTTATTCGTAGTTTTTCAACCTAATCTTTAGAGAGTTAATTCAACTATGGAATAGCCAACGGAAAATATTTTACTTATTTTGACAAATTATCTAATTGAATGTAACAATTCTTAAACACATCTTCTCCTACAATAATATTATTCGTATCATCAAGATAACAATTATAAATTCCTCCTTCTCTCTTGTTTAAATTC